TCTTCCTCCCTCATCTGCTCCTCTTCTTGAAAGCTCCACCTCTCCCCGCGGGTCTGGATCTCGGGGGGGTTTCGGTTCCCGTCCGGTTCCTCTGAGAACCGGATCTCCAGCAGGGGGGTTTTGGGGGTCTTGGGGCTCCTTTCGTCCCGGAAACTGCAGACGGTGCTCTGCGTGTCTTGGCCCAGACCCGAGGGCAGGGACCCGCCTTTTCCCACCTTGCAGCCCTCCTCCTCCTCCTCCTCCTCGTCGCTAGGGCAACGGTCGATGCTGGGGGAGTGGTACAGCCTCTGCAGCTGCGCGGAGGTCCGGCGGAGGGCCCCCCCCATGAAGCCCGACGGGGAGGGGGCGGCGTTCAGCAGGCGGTTGAACAGCGCCATGTTGGGGTGGTGGGAGCCCGACTCCTCCATGTTCTCAGCGATGTCCTCCAGAGGCTGGAAGTGCATCTCCTCCTTCGGGATCCTGTGAGGGGAAACATCAGTGGGGGGCCGTCAGGGCTAAGAAAATATCTGAATCACAGACTGATTTTATGTATATTTAGTCCATGAATACTTATTGAATATTTCCAAATGGTCTGTCTGCTTCCTTTCATAGCTTTCCCCCTGGTTGTGCTGCTTCCAAACATGTATTTTTATATAAAAGCATTTAACCAATCACATTTAAGCCGTCACTTGTTGCTAGGCAGGGTCAAAGTCAAAGATGTCTGCCTGGAGGCCTTCACAATCCGTTCTGCCCTCTAAAATAAATAAATGTCGATTGAACTGTTGCTTTAACCAATCAGATTTTAGGTTGGTGACACCAGGGCCTTCTAGCCCTCTGCCTTCTGATTGGATAGTCAGATAGCTACCAGATAAAGCTAGCAAACGAACCCAAATATAGTTGTTTTGGGGTAATAACTATTTTATCTACTCCCACAATGGCTGAAGGAGGAGAACAAATTGATTTGGTGGCAGATTTACTGTCAAGACCATTTTCAAGACGGACTTTTCAAGAAAAATAAGTTTGTAATATTTTGCTTAAATATTAAATATTTTCCTAAATAATATTGCGAGTTTATGAAGATATTATTGATGTGTTTGGGTTTTTTGGGGAGGGGGGGGGTCGCGCTGTAGCTGCAGTAGTAGAAGACTTGTGCACCTCTAATCTTTATACTGTATTTCTACATAATAAGAAGATTTTTATAATCATAAAATAGTTATTGAGGGGTGAATTGATTCAGACTGAGCACTACTGAAGGCCTATCTGTGAAATGCCCCACTGGAAAACATTGTTCCGCATCCGTGTCCTGGCTTTCTAATCCAAGTTTGACATTCTCAAAGTCAGTTCAAACAGAGAGAGCTTACGCCATGTCGAACGTGGACCCTTGAAAAGAGGGTTTACGGAGAACGAAGAGGGTGGCTGCCGTGTAGGGGGGCCGGGGATTGGAGTCGTTCCAGTAACGGTCCCTCTCGATCATCGGCACGTCTCCATACATGTCGTCCACCGCCATCATGGACACCTGCAGGACCAAGTATCCACAGCAGGGAATGAGGACACGTCTCTCAATCTGGCCTCTAACACAAGGCTGACGTCCATTTAACTCATTGGCTGCAAAAGACGTCTATAGACGTCAATTCAAATACAACCGTTGACTGGCAAAGACGTCTATAGACGTCTTTTATGTTTTTCAACGAGGGTGACAGGGGGACGATCTGCTAAAGCTGGTCCGTAAATATCAGGCTTCTAGACAGAGTATGTACTAACAAATTGACCCTCTAGGGGGCAGTGCCACTTTTGATGGGAGATGAGCATAGACTGTAGGCAAATAAGAAAAAGCTAACGGTTCTATGAGAGAACATGTCGCCGGTGAGACGCAAGTCCAGGAAGAACGGAATAAGGTAGAAACACATTTTTTTTCCTGATGAAAGAAGAGAGTCTACTCTTTCTTTTGGTGTGTTCGGTGTTTACATAGTCATAGCACAAACTATT